GTAAATTTTCAGGCACATAATTACAAAGTCTATTACAATCTTGATTATTGATCTTAGCTCGAATCAAATTAAAAAAAAAAAAAAAATACTAGCACTCTTTTTTAATGAGATATAAATATAATTTAATGATATTAAACGAATTGTTAATTAAAATCCAGTTATATATTGACTGTTTGTGAGAGTCAATAGACTTCTAAGCCACATGAAAAATCGTGTGTTGGCCAGCAAAAAATACAAGTATTTAATACGAATTTGTTTTTGATAAGTTACAATATAAAATTTAGAGTAAATTACGGTCAAATTACGAAAAAAAATCTTCATGTTTGAAAAAAATTACGAATGCTCAGTTTAGATATAAGTCTTGGAGGCTTTTGAGACTCTTATCCTCTCAATCAAACATTCCTTGGATATGCGCAGGTGATTTCAATTCTCTTCTTTCCGTAACCGAGAAAAGTGGGGGAAGAGCGGTAGCATATAGCGATTTTCAAGATTTTAGTGAATGCTTAAGGGAGTCAGGATTATTCGATCTTGGTTTTACAGGTTACCAATTCACTTGGTCGAACAACAGAAAACACCCGTTCACAATTAGGGAACGCATTGATAGGGCCTGTGCGACGAATGAGTGGCAAAGCCTCTTTCCGGATTTCAAAGTAGTTCACCTGGAGACACTTTACTCGGACCATGTCCCTATCCGAATTGATATGAAGAACAGTCCCAATTGTAGAGGCCGCATAAGGACGAGAGGTTTCAAATTCGAGGCCATGTGGCTAAAATCGGAGGATTGCCCGAAAATTATTGAGGATTCATGGACGAATAATTTAGACTATAACGACAACCTTGGTCTATGTGATAAGTGTTCATTTTGCACAATTTTTACTTATCAAATCTTCGAGTTTTGGTCTTCGTTCGTCCGAGTTTCGGCGTTATTTGTACATATTATTGCGTTTCTTGTCCTATTTCTATTATAGGTAAAGAGAAGCTATTCCTGCCGATTCGAAACGATTTCGGAAGCGAAGCCGAGAACCAACCAATCAAGTGCAAAATTGCAATCAAGTGGATGGTGG